TATTAAGGTTCTTAATAATATCTAGGTCTATAAGATAATACCTATCTTAATATTGTACTTAAGTTATTTAAATCTCCTTAGATACCTTACTATAGCTCTAATTTATTTCTTTTAATAAGTATAGCTTATACTTCTCTTTTCTCGTGCTCTATAAGTATTAAGTAACGAAGCTCTAGAATACTAAGCTTATATTAGCTCTCGTATCTACTATTACCCTAACGGTCTTTTTATTTATACGTATAGTAACCTTTATTAGCTTAAGGTTCTTTTCCTTAGCTATTAGGTTATAGACTCTCTACGGCCTCGTCGCTAGTCGTTTTAGCTTACAACGGCCTTATCGTTTTTTATTATATTATCTAGTTCGAAGTCCGATATCGCTTCGTTAATTACGTCTAACCCTTTAGCGTATCGTTCTACCTTAGGCGTATTCTAGTGTAGTAGACGTTTAAAATATAATAGTAGTAGGGTCTATTTGTTTCGTATTATATATCCTTAGTGTATATATAGATTAGAGCTTACCTTATAATCCTTAGAGTAATAGATTCTCTATATACTCTCGGTATATTCCTCTTTCTCTAGGCTATTAGGGTTAAAATATTTATATCGGTACTAAGCTTCTTACTTATAGTCTAGATTCTTATACTAATTCTAGAACTATTAATTAGTTCGAATTACTATTCTATTATTACGTTATCTTATAATCGTAGTAGTCGCGTTCTTCTCTTCCTCGAAAGCCTTTACTTTTAAAGAGGAATATTCTAACTCGGGATATTCCGATATTATAGCTGGTCTCGGTCTTTTTCCTATATATAGTAGTATCCGTAGTTCTATAAGTGAATATTAAGCCACTATTTTCCTATTATCGAGTCCCTACTATACTACGGTTCCTCCTCGGATATCCAACTTAATACAGTCGTAGGTTTACCCGTAAGGTGCGTTTAATACGTAAACTCTTATTTATAGTTTCTTATAACGATATTCCCCTAGTACTCTTTTCTTAAACGTCGTATAATTTATATATACCTATTAGTTAGTTTATACGATAATTTAGTTATTATTCTATAAAGTTATAGATATTTATAGAGCGTCTCGTTTCTTTAACTAATTAGCTTATTATTTAACCTCCTTAGCTAGCTTCTTCATATATTCCGTATATTCGTTAATTATTTTACTTACTTCGTCCTTACTAAACGAGTATTTCTCTAGCTCTTAGTGTCTCTCTCTTTCCTCGATTTCGTAGTTAATACTGGGTCCGTATTTACGTTTAAGTAGTCTTTTATATTTCTTTAGGATTTCGGCCGTAATATCCTTTACTACCTATATTAGTTCTCGTTATTATAGTTCAGTAAAGTTATAAACGATCTATTCGATTTCGGTATCGTATCGTTTTACTTTAAACTCACTTTTAATCTATTTCTAGTATCGTATTTCTATAATTATATATTCTTTATCTATATCGTACCGTACGACCTCCGGGTTCGTGCTTTTAGGAGTAACTACTTAATGAACGTTCGCTTGTCGTTAAGTTTATCTCGTATCTCTTAGTCCTTCGTATTTAAGGTATAGTAGTATCGGTATAGGCTATCGTAGCCCTTCCGGGTCGTGAACTAAGCTAATAAGGGTTATACCGTAGGTAGCGACTTCGTCTACCGTATACACTTATTTCCAGTACTATATTCTATAAATAGTTCCCTCTTAGTTACACTAAATAATCTCTAGGTCCCTATCTATAAGAGCCGGTGTCTAGTGTATATTTACTTAGCGTATAGCTACCTTTAACTTTCTAGGTTTCTTAGGGTACTATCCTAACCCGTCTTTCTCGGATCGGTATATATAATAATTATTATTATAGTACGCTATCTATAATATATATCTATATTTCGGGTATCGGGTATCGCTTATATTGAGTTCCTCGTTTTACTCGTTAAGTAAGGTGTCTCTCTTAGTAGTAAAGTCTTCGCTCTTACTAGGTTGCTTCTCGGCTATATTTACTTATTTTCTCGTACCTCGATACTCTCTTATATAGTGTTCTTTCTTACTATACTAAAAGCATTCGCTATTCTTAGAACGTTAGAGTTAGTCCTTAGTTATAGCTAACTTACGGTTCTTACCTTAGTTAGGCCGTTCTTCAATCTTAGCTCCTCGTCCTAAGCGATTATTACGCTTTTACTAATTAAATATTCGTTTAATAGCTGTATTAGCTTCCTAATTTATAGCGTTAGAGTCTCGTTTAACTACTTGTTTTCCTTATCGGTTCTTATTATTAAACTTTCTAGTAGTGTATTCGCGCGCCTAGGATTTTTCTATTCTTCGTTACTATATCCGCTTATTAAGGTTCTTAGTGTACTTAATAAGCTCCTATAAGCCTTCCGGATCTCCTTTCTCTCTCTCGATAATTACGTCTTTAATAAAGTCTTTAAGTCCGAAATAGTAGTCGAACTAAAGGGTCTCGTTATTTCGATCCAGCTTATTACTAAGTCGCTAGAACTTAGCGGTATAGTCGGTAACAGAGCCGGTCTACCTAAGAGAACGTAATTCCTTCAGTGTCTTTCGGGTCTCGTCTTTATACCCGTAAAGCTTTCAAAGTTCCGTTACGAATTTATTAATTCCTCCTTTAAATATTTTATTAGTTCGTTCCTTCCGACCTTTCTTAGTGTTATTTTTAAAGTAATCCTCTAAGTAGGCTTTAAACTATTCGGTAGGTTTATCCCGTAGAAGGATACTAACCTATACGACCTAGTCTTCGGGCTTTATAAAGTTCCTATACTTAATATATACCTATAGCTATAGTAAAAAGATCTTAAACTTAAATCGATTACCCTTAAATAGCTTAGGTTCCTTAATCTTAAGTTAAGTATTATTATTAGTAGTACCTATAAGAGTAAGGTTAGTAGTAAAGGAGTTACTTAGCTTATCGCTTAACCCTAGAGTAGATATCCTACTGTTAATACTAAGTAACTAAAAACTTTTCGTAAGTCTAATCGGTGATATAGGTCGAGTCGGTAGTATAGTCTTATTTATACCTATACTTATATACGATCTAGCTTAGTAAGTATAGTAGTTAAAATATTATAAGGCTATTATTCTTTACGTAACTAGTAAGGGTACGAGTAGAACCTCTATATTCTACTTAAGTAAGCTAGGCTAGATATATTATAGATGAGTTAGGGTAAGGTCCGTTATGTATAGGTAGGGGGTCTAATATAACTTAGGTTAACTACGGAACTATAGAACTCTATAAAGGAGAGTTGTAGCTATATACTTATAGCCTATAGTCCCGAATAGGAATAGTCCTACTTATGCTGCTTAGTATGATCAGTAGTCCGAGAGGTGCTTAGTACTGATCACCCTGATCACGCTGATCACACTCCGGACCCACTAATCACATTCCCTAGTCACGTGACCCCTGTCTTATCTTTTTTATCTGTACGTGCTAGGCTTCCTCGCATGACCTTCCTATATTATAACCAGCGGCCACCTCGTGGTCGTGGACCATAACAATAAGCTTATACCGGGCCTTAGTCTATATCGGATTATTATAAAGCTGTCTAATCTGCTGGCTCATCGTCGTAGTAGTGTTATAATGTTGTAAGACTAAATCGTGTGACTACTTTCTGCAAGATATATAGCTGTAGTGATTTAACGCTCTGCCCTTTAAGAATATATAGGCCGTTTTCGGCAGAGGAAAGGGTTGAGAGAAGCCTATATACCTGCGGTATGCTGGAGCATAAGAGAACGAAAGTGAAGTCGTTGTAACGTGCCTGCGGTGATCCTGACGCGATGAATAATAGGGTTAACCGCGCGCCTTCTGGCACACGATATATGCACTTGTAGTCGGTGACCATTATGTATTCGCCCTCGAAACTAGTGCACTGCGGCCGGGTATAAAGTCTAAAGCCTCGAGTCCGGAGCCTGAAACCGATGAAATCTGCTGGTATCGCTATATCGATAAAGCTGCTTTAAGACGATGGTGCTGTTCGTAGATAGCGTTTAAGCTCCTTATTAAACGTTAGAGGCTGGGTATAAAAGTAGAATGGTGTATATAGCGCTTTCGATATAAACACTGGGTTGCTGGTTAACTAATAACAAGTGCTTAACCTACGTACTAGACGTATAGTATATAGTGGGCGGGCGTAGAAGTATATTCTTACTGACAGTCTATGACGCACTACTATATTTTCGTGTACGCTTGAGCCCTCTAATACCCGACTTCAGTTAAGAGCTCGTAATATGTATAGAATCCATCGTCGAAGTAGTATTTTGTCATTAGTGCTTATTAGCCTTTTCTGTCTTAAGATAGCCGCCCGAGGGACATCTTGACCGGCCGTACGAGAAGTCTTATCTTCCTAGGATAATAGGATATGGTCGGGATATGACTTGAAGAATACAACATCGATGTGCGTGCGATGCGGCAGATGCGATGAATGGATTTAGTGATTCGGTCGGTGTTGCTTGATAACAGCGAAGAGTCGCGTCACAAAGCTCGGCTCCAGAGTTTTTAGTGATAGTCTCCTACTTGTTAGATGCTCTTACGTGCGGTCAAAACAAAGACACGTCTATATCCTTAAGAAGATCTACCAGATAGTAAGGCATTACTAGCATAAATGTCGACCCACACTTAGAAAGTTTACTATCGTAAAGAGAAGAAGCTTGTGCGATACCATACATGGCACCTTGCATTATATAAGTGAGCTCTTTCCAAGAATTGATTGAGAAGGTTGAAAGAGAGAAGACTTCAGGTGCGGCGAGCTAATACATCCGTAACGCTAAGCACGCCGAGCCCAAAAGGTATCTGGTGATCGCGATGGCGTCGCAACCGCAACAACTCTCGCACCCCATAGTTCTCGTAACTTTAGGCGCATGCCTTAGGGAACAATCGTACAGGAAGATATGTCACTAGGGCATCGAGAGACGGATACGACATATACGATGATGAGCAAACTTAGCGTCAAAATCGACTTATTCTGGTCAGACCGTTCCAGGTTTCCCAGAGTAATCTGGCCTCTATGGCGCAGTGGTAACGCGTCGCACTTGTAACCACTAGTAGCTTCAAGCTACTTCAAGCCAACATATGCGAAGATCTTCAGTTCAATTCTGAATGGGTAAGTCCACCTAGATCTTCATAGACGAAACACGTCTAACAAATATCAGAGGCATTGATTTCACATCAAGTTCTTTTTTGCTTTTTTGCATGACCTCGTGCTGTGAGACTTCATACATCCGTGGTTTCGACTATACATAAGCGATCTCATAGGACGCGAGCGTGAGCTTACTGTTCTTCTTCTCAGACGTCAAGGAAGACCGTATACTGAGACACGCGCTTCGCGCTCTCACACATCGGCTGTTGGCGCTGCTTCATTGGTCCCGCACCAGTCCCTCCTCAGCGGTAGTCAAAACACAATTAATGCACTCTCAACCAACCATTCAACCGCCTTGCAGTTCTGACTACCGCGACGGCATCTCGGCATACAACTCAGAAGTTGGGGTTCTACAGTCCAACCATTCATAACAAAACAGCTCTCATGCAACGATCGACAAGAAATGTATTTTGCAGCCCCAGCCAATGCAGCATATGCAGGCCAGATCGCGCCATGTATGTAGCTAGATAGGTATCAAGAATAGTATAATGCACCCCAGCAACTCCAATGAGACTCGTTACACCCAGTCAGTGTGTACACCTCCCACACTCCTCCCACACTCCATTCCCCCATCCCACATCTCCTCCCTCACGACGAATAAAACCAATACGCCGCCGCATACTGCACACTAAACACCGCCGGACTACTCTCACACGTCCCCGGCGGCTTCCCCCCCGCCGTCTGCAACCGATACACCCCCTTGACATCCCCCGTCGTGCCAAACGTAGAATCCAATCTCAACCACGTAACCGCACCGTCACCCTGTCCGTTGTCGCCCTTGGGCGCATCAGCCGGCGCGGTGCTGTTGCTGTTTGCTTTGAAGGCCGCGATGCCGAAGCCCGCATCGCTAGATGCACTATCGACAGCCGCTGAGCCCGCGGCGAGTGGCTGAACCTGCGTCAGGTCGAAGGTTGGTGTGCCGTTGGACGTGAAGTAGTGGTGGCCCACGAGCTCGAGGTTGGAGGGCTCGAGATTTGCGACGGGATCAGCGGGGAGGGCATATTGGAGTGCGAGGGCGGGGAGCATGGAGAGGATGTCGGGGTAGTTTGCTGCTATGCAGGAGACGTTGTAGAGGGATGCGATGGCGCCGATTGGTTTTGGGACGACGTCTACGGAGGCGGAGGAGCAGGTGTAGTTCTAGGTATGTTAGTTGAGTTTCTGGGAGGTATGGTAATGCGGTGCTTACTTGGACGCCACGGCCGACTACGACTTCGGTCAGTTTCCAGGCTGGATCTGGGACTGGTAGTGGTGTTGGTGCGATGGGTTGGACTGCTTTTGATAGATCACATGTTGGTGGGTTGCCAATTGGGCCATCTTGTCTGGCTATTTGGATGTGTCTGTCTATTGCAGCATAGAACTCGCCGAGGGCTGGTGACCATGAGACCAGTGGTGCCGCTAGGGCAGATGTGAAGACTGTGCCAAGAGCTAGTATCGACTTCATCGTGACCGTTGATGTTTGTATTGTGCTTGATGTGTCTCAGGTGTTGGGCTGAATGTCTGGTGCACAGTCTGGCCGGAGACTGGTTGCAGTAAACAATGCAAGACGGTGGATTGGCTATTAATGTATAATATGTATGTTGAATGCAAAAGACTGAGTAGCAAATGCAAGACCCAATATCAGAACAAGGAAATTCGTTAGTTCGAGATGGCTGGAAACGGTGGTGGTTTTGAGATGCGAAGATGGGGAGAATGAAAGACTTCCCAACCTTTGCAGCATAGTCATATATCAATCCCGACCGACAAGCCCACGCTACCCTGCAGTCTCGATGCAAGTATAGAAAGGGTACGATATGTACGCGCCGCTGCTTGTCTGGTAGTCAGTCCTGTTCAAGAAAGTGGATGTCAAAGGCAAAGTGTGGAGGAGTAGCCGTTTGGTAGCCCAGTCGAGAGCCAAGGTGTTTCTATTCCAGGTAGGACAAATGTGGTTGGTGCCATTAGTGGAGATTGCGGATGGCTTTCTGTCAGGATCTGATCTGCCGCTGCCGCCCAGACTTGACCAGAAATGGTTTAAGGCAGTCAAGTCAGATGCTATTTCCCTGCCTCTTTCCACGGCAATCCTTGATGGTTCGTGCATTTGAACAGCTTCAAATAGCCGCTTGGCCAATCACTATTCTTGACGATGCAGACGCCGCATTTCGGACATCTCGCACTGGCTGTCATCTTCGAGTAGCTTAGCAGGTAGACGCTGACCAAACGCTGATTCGTTTCAGAATTAGCAAAATAATCTTGATCGAGCTTAGCAGCCGTCCAATGTGGCTTGCGATGCTTCAGGCGGATGCTGAAAGCCGGTTGCAAGAACTCTGAGCCGATGCAGCCGTGATTTGTGATAGGTTCGACAAAACGAGTGGTATTGCGCAATGACTTGCATCGTCGTCAATCGGAGAATAAACGTGGTCGTTGATCGCTGCTGGCCGTCGAATACGCAGAGTCGTTTATGCTCTTTTCAGCTGACAATGACGAAGAAGGTTACGGACCTCCAACATACTCTACCAAATTCCCTTGCACGCCGGACGTGTGTTTCGAGAAGTCTGACCATGGAAAAGTCTTGTCTCGATCAGGCGAGAAGTGCTTGACCGATCCCGATGTCAGCAGGGCTCTGACGCCGCTTGTCGGGATTGCTGCGGCACAATAATCGTCGTCAAACAGAGACTAGCCGAGGCCTGAAACGTAGTTGCGAACTAAAGTCGCTGACGAAGGAATGAACCATTTTGTATAGAATTTCGGCGTCCATCACCCAAAATCCTCCTGACGCCAATCTGCCGCGTGCGGCGATGGATCCTTCATTCCAACAGCACCAGCCGAACCACCAGTCGATGTCACGGGCACCATATGACTTGATGCGGCACCGGCTGCAGACATCCAGTACAGCATCAAAAACACCAGGAGATGCAAAGCCATGCAGTAGCCGGCGAACAGGTTGCGGCTCGTCCTGGTAGCAAGGACTATCCTGGTCAAGGAGAACACCATACGTTCGGGCATGTTCATGCGCTTATAGGCTCTGGCTGCTTCTCGGCCTCGGAATGCGGCAAACGGAGATATGTTAGCCTCGTACTGAGCCTTCCATCGGTCGCCTCGCTCATCCGCCACGTTGACAGACGTATGTGACGGGTCCTGGCCGTACGCGGAGGATGACGCTCCGCCCCTGCTGTAAGCCGAAACGTATCGGGTTTTCTCATACAGGGTGAGATTGTCTTTCTGCAGCGAAGCGACCTCCTGGCGTAGTGAAGTGACCGTAGCGTAGGTTTTCTGCAGCTCCTCCTCTAGTTGCTGTGTTTTCTGCTTGAAACGGTCGCGTTGTGCTTGAACCATGGGCAGTATGCCTGACCCACCTCCGAGAGCTTCTCCTGCGCCAAGCGAGCCTCGGCTGTGACCATCGAAACCAGATATGATTGAGGATGTCGGTGATGATCTGCCTCGCCGAGTGGATTGGGGATACCTCGAAACGTACGTACCAGCGACTGACCTACCGGAAGAGGGAAGGCCGCTTGCTGCTTCTTCTTGTAAGTCAGACAAGTCATTTTCTAGCCTCGCGGAGAGCTTCTGCGACTCTTCCAGATCGTTCCTGCTTTGTGACAAGTCAAGCTTGAGCTGGTCCACCTGCTCTGTTAACTCCTTGTGCGAGACACGCAGTAAAGTCAGATCTTCGCTCAGCTTCTTGTTTCGTGCAAGCAGTAGTTGTTCAAGTGAGTTCTTTTTGCCGTCAGCAGAGCTATTTTGTGTCGTCGCATCCTCATCCCCGTCATCTTCGGCAGACAATTCGATCGACTTGAGCATATTGAGCTCTCGTTTTACTTCATCATAATCTGAGCACTTTTGCAATCTGGCGCGCAGGTCTTGGGCTTCATCCATGGCAGACTTTCTCTGGCGCTCTAGCTGCTTCACATGCTCGTCAGTCTTGCGCTTCTCTCCTTCACGATCAAATCTCATGGATTCGAACCGTCGCAGCAGGCTTGAATTCTCCGATTGAAGCCTGAGCACTTGGGGGTCTTCTTCTGCTGATCTAGAGGATTGTGAGGCAACCTGTGCCAGCTCGATGCGCAGCTGCTCGTTTCTCGCCTCCATTTCAGCCAGTCGGGTACTGGTTTTCTCGAGGTCCGAAACAACCAGCTGCAATTCAGCAGAAGCAGCCTTCTGCGCAGCATTGTCCTGTTCATCCTTGCCCAGTCGTTGGGAGACTTCATAGTTTGCCCTCAACTCTTTAAACAAGCGATCCTGGTTTTCGATCTTCTCCTCGAGCATCTTCTCTTTCGTAGCCCAATTGCTTTCTTTTTCCTCCATGACCTTACGCCATGATGCTTCTACGTCTTCGGTCTTGCGGCCAGAGCCTTCCTCTGCCTCTTGACGAGCCTGGCGCTCTGTTTGCAGCTTCGACTCGGTAGATTCGAGTTCTTGCGACAATTTGTTGACTCGCTTCTGAAGTTCAGTATTTTCTTGAGTGATCCTGGGCAAGGTATCTTCAGAGGTGACGAGAGCTTCGACGGAGGCTTCGAGTAGAGGGAAAGGATCTGGAGCTTCGGAAATAGTAGTGTAGAGCTGGAGGAAAGCGGAGGAGGACTCCTTGCCGTGAGTGGTCAGGAGGTCAACGAAGCCCTGGTATGCCTTCAACAAGCCTTTGTACTCAGCAAGCTTGCCGGCGTCGTCCAATTTGCGGAAGTCTTTGGTCTTCTGAGCAACATCCTTGCGCTCAAGCACGGCATCCTTCTGATGGTTGACGATATCTGTGGCAGTGGTGTCTAGCTGGGGAATCAATGATGCAAAGCCAATGCCTAATCATGTTAGAGACACCAGAGAGTAACTATGTTTGACTCACTCCTCCATGCAGCTATGGCCTTCTGAAAGCGATTATCTGTTTCTCCATTCGTAGAATTGCTACTGGCTTTGGTACCGTCGACTTGATCAGCCGCGCTGGCTTCTGCTACGGCAATCGCATCCATCGTTGCGCGACACCGGCCAACGTCATGTCAAGC